CTACTACTACTACTACTACTACTACTACTACTACTACTACTACTACTTCTACTACTACTACTATTACTACTACTACTACAGCTACAATTTACACTTTACAATCGTATTTTACAATTTATACTAAATCATGAAAAATGTTTTGTGTTTTCCGACAGTCCCGCCGATGCTGTGGATACCCCATCAGCTGGTCGGCGTGCCGCTGGGCTACAACGTGACGCTGGAGTGTTACACCGAGGCGCACCCCACGTCGCTGCACTACTGGACCCGGGACAGCGGGCAAATGTTGCACGACAGCAGCAAGTACAAGGCCGTGTCCATACAGGGCGTGCCGTCGTACAAAGTGCAAATGAAGCTGACCATCGTGGACGTGTCGCACACCGACTACGGCGTGTACAAGTGCGTGGCAAAAAACTCGCGAGGCGAGACCGACGGCACGATTCGGCTGTACAGTGAGTGGTTGCACTTGATTACTACGCACATCACCGCGTGCACTTCTATGCGTATAGACCTACGTGAAAAACGTTTTCCGCCGCTAATTTCCCGCCGCCCTATTGTAATATAGCCGTCCATCTCGACGTGTAGCTGTATATACTGCAGGCAGATTCGCAGACCGCTCATAGTTCTTACCTTTGATAATGCATCTGTTCCGATTTCGATTTTGAGATTTTTTAACACTATACGCGAGGACCGTATTTTCAAATTTTTGAGATGCTGCATGTATGAAATATTCCGTTACAGTAATTTCTTTTTCTAATACGACAACCCACCTTTTTTTACTGTAAATTATTTAGTGTACATAAATATATATATATATATATTTATTGTTGACAAACATACTAAAAATTAGAACGAGTAGATTTCAAGTTATTAAAATGTTTATCCTAATAAGATAGTAGTATTTAAAAAATGTTCAAAAAAAATTCTAAATATCTGCATGTGATAATGACTTTCGTAATGATTATACTTAGATCGTTTTTACAAATTATAAATGTTAATGTTGATTTTGATGCCTTAACATTTTCAGAAAAACTATTCGCTAAATAATTTACAGTAGAAAAGATAGGTTTTTATTTGTAAAACAGAAGCTTGTATCTACTCCTTGAGGAGGTAGTTTAAAAATCTTAAGAATTTTAAGATACGGGTTTTAAGTATATTTAAAATTTTCAAAAATTAGAATTTGAAAAACTAAATTATTAAATAAAATATAGCTGGCGAGCATGCTTAGTGAATTATCCTGTATTGCCACTGCATATAGTAAAATACTGTTTGAAAAATGTGTAGTTTTTACACGATATGTTATGTGGAAAAGTACGTGAATTGGAAATTCTTTCCAAAAACATCCTCACAAATATCTTATTCGCGCGACCTTATTGGACGATTATTTTTAGAATCTGATTTTATTGCATATTGTTTGAAGCACGTTCAATAAAAATGGTCACTTTTGAATTATATATATATAAAAAATAAAAAAAGAGGAGTACTACTCAAACTCGCCATATTTTTAAATTTATTTGTGTTTAACATATCGACAACTTTAAAAAATAGTCCAATAAACCCCATTATACTTTTTCAATAAAAAAAATACGTTTAACGTTATGTTTTTATTTCTCATATTGATATTTTTTTACCACAGTGTTAACATTTCCAATACAGATAATAATGCGAAAACCAATTAAATTATAACTAACATTATTCCTTTAAACATATTTTGGGTCTCAAAAACCTTCCTAAAATATTCCTATTAATAAGAAAGAAAACATATAAGTTTGGTTTAAAAGAAAAAAATATATTAACCATTATTAATAAATTCTTTTCGTGAAAACAGATTTTCAAACACATAATAAAGTTGATTGCATCAATAAGAGTATCTGACACTCTGACATAAAAAAATAATGTAATTTAGCTCATATATATTTTTTATATTAGGGATCTATAATTGATTTTAGATTTGTGTTTTCATTTAATATGGTCGTTTTCCGAGTAACTTTGCCCTTCATTTCTGCGATATCTATTGCCAAAGAGTTAACTGTGGTCTGTAATCCTGAACTTTTACATAAATTGCATTTTATTTTATATATATTTTTTTATCTTTAGGGTTATGAAAATTACAAATTAATAAAGAAAATGCGAAATGATTTCTTTATTGCTTCCATTTCAGAGTTTCACGCGCCAGTGTATTATACTGTTCTGCGTATAAAATTTATAATTACTTTAGAAATTCTCCGGATTTCATCTTTGTTTCGTTCGTTTCCGGTATTCGAGTTTTTAACCGTCATCTGTTTTATTTCTAAATCCTTCTTATTATTTTTTTAAAAAAATTTCCAAGATTATAATGTGAGGTTAGAATAATTACTTTATGATTCAAAGAATATAAAGTAAATATTTTGAACAGGAATTAATGTACCAAATACTAAAATATTTCATGAGAAACTTACAGTGTGCAGATTAAAAACGAAAATTATTCCGACTAATTTTTTTTGTGTATAAAAACCATATATGTACCCTTATGAGTATAATATTTTTTGAATTGATAAAATGTTTCAATCAATTTTCAAAGTTTTTTTTTCGTGTAATAAATATTTTATGATATTACACTTTAATTAAAAAAATGTACTCTTTTTCACATTTGAACGCGTGATAACTAAATATTTTAGTATTAAAAGCAAAACAGAAATATCATTCCCCATTCTGTTATATCATAAGTTATTTTTCAATGTAGAATTCTTCTTTTAAATATGTTTCATTATAGATTAAGCCTAACACTTTATCATTACATAATTATTTTTAGTTTATAAAAATACTTCGACACCACAGCTAGTAAAGTATTACATCCGAGTACTTAATGTGAGTGGGATCGAGTGTATGAATAGACGTCTAGTGTTCTTAGTTTATAATTCACTACTCCTTGTCTATTAATGCTTTTTTATGTGTACGTCAATTTATGTTTATAGAAAATACAAATTTATGATTTTATTACGTAAAACCTATTCTAATTTGCATGACAAGTGTTTTTTTTCTCAATATTTTCGCTTGAACTTAATTCACTTTGATTTTGAATATCGTAATACTTACATTTAAGTTTTTTACTTAAACAATATTTGTGTTACTATTCATTACTGTAATCTTTATAATGCAGTATAAAATAATTAAATATAATTTTGAAACTTTTATTAAAATATCTGTGAACATTTACTAAAATATATTTTCCTAAGAAATTGCTTTTAAACTAATTTATAAATTATAATCAAATAAATTTGAATGACAATTTCAATTCGATACCATTACCTTATTATTTTTTTTTCACTGAAATTTCATATAAAAAATACATCTTAATACTATTGTATTTATAATCATAATCATTATTTATAATATTAAAAAGATATTTTGATAACGTCCAGCTTTCATATACGAAAACTATTTTTGCAACAATCTGTCTGTAGATGAAAATTTGAACGAAGTTATTATGAAATAAATACGATTTTACCACGAATCGATATCGCTTTAGATATCGAGTGGCGTGTAACGGACACTTCCCGTGTTAATAATTAATTTCGTTCTGCGACGTCGTACACCGCACGTCCGTTGTCACACATATTGAACCACAGTCAAATCGTTTTCCGTATTTGCTACAGACCAATGTAAAATTATATACCTAGTGCCTACACATTAATATAATATAATAATACCTATATATGTATGTGAAAACAATCGTTGCGATCCAAAACAGACCGACGACCGCACAGACCGTGGCGTCTTACGCAATCGACGCCATCGGAATTCCGCGTTTGTGGTGCTACTATAATATCAGTTTATCTGTAATACGTGGACGTGTAATTATACACAAAATGTGTGCGTGCATAAGTATGTCGTATAACCGCATCGGCCGTGTTCGCGCTTTATTATACCCACATGCGGTGACAACGGGCAAAGGGTTTTAAATAATATTACTCTCGGAGAAAATGAATATTATCCAAGAGCGTAGTGGTGGCACCGTTCGTTCCCATGCCATCGTGTGTGAGCGTCGTACATTTGACGTATTTTAAACCACCAGTCTAGTCGGTAGTAGTACCTATACGTGTTTTATAATATATACAATATACATTTATGTATATCTACTGTGACCATAATATATATATATAATATATTATATTATATTATATGCATATCGTCGTGGAAAACGCGGCGGTCTTTGGATATACGTTGCGGTCCAAATTGTAATTAACATATGCTGCCCGCGGGCCGTACATGTGGCTGACCGCCGGTTGATATCCATCCGAAAACGGATGTTAAAATAATTAGTTTCCACGACCACCGGTAATGAGCAATTTCGCAAAAGGACTGCTGTCCTCCGGGCTCATCGGTCGTGACCGCGTTGTAAGGCTACCGCCAGTAATAGTTTCGACAAGAAATCGTTTTACATCGGTAAACGGGCGCCGCACAAACCGTATACACGCTATACATATTATTGTCCTACCACAAACCCGCCCATCTCGTTTAACCGTAAATTTTCCAACACGCTAAATGATGTAGTAGGCGACGGAATGGGAGTAGAAAATTATACAATACCGACCGTTTAAAAATAATTTTACCAACCGTTTGATGACGATGGTTGGAAAATAGTCTACGAAAGTCAGAAGTACATCAAAAAGGAAAAAGGAATTGGATTTTTTGTGACGATTATTTTCAGACATATAATTTTGTACAGAACAAAATAGTTAAAAATCCATAAAAATATAATGTCATCTCAAACAGTACCCTAAATATGGTATTATTTAATAGACTTACCAAATCGTTAAATTTTCAAATTCTACTTTTAATATTTCATAAATCTAAGAATAAACATTTGAGGTTTTTAGATTAGGTTAATTTGAAAAAAATACCTTAGGCTTGATACAGGACGACAAAAAGCAATATACCGATGGTAATACTTATTTATTACTAAAATAATATATCAACTGTTTCTACTTTAAATAATAAAAGTTTGATTTTTGTAGCCGCAAAAAAGCCAATGTTTTATTTTTAAGGCAATGCAATATGTTTTGAAATTTATAAATAAAACTCGAAGATTGTATAATAATATACAGCGATAACTTTCGATGATCATAAAATGATAATAATTTACTTGTATGATTTTTATTTTCACGAAATTCGAATAATATTTCTATACTTACTAAAGAATAAATAGTTTTATTTTTAAATAATATTTTATTGGTCACATAGTGTAATTATTTTTTATTAAAATTATTATAACAATTAAAACAACACATGAAATCGTTACATAAAATTAGCGACAAAATATGGATTTATAAAAATGTTTAATAACAAAGACTTTCCATTTATGATGTAAACAAGCTATGGATAAATCTGGGAACTGTAAAAGATCTTTTGTTTTAGGTAGGAGACAGATGAATAAGGCTCATAGGATATTGAACCTAACATATACTTATTATTTTTACTCTTCCGTGGAAGTGCTTGTTACTATTTATTTTAGTATTTTCTAAAGTAAGATAGTTATTGCAAATAAAAATATGTGTGCAATATTGAGAATAAGTCAAATACTACAATCACGTTATTATATCCATGAAAAGTAATAACATTATTTACTGAAAATTATACGATATTATAATTCGAGGTATGATAAAATAATGAATGAATGAATTTTATAAGGATATATAATACATATTACTATGTTTATCGTTTTAAAATTATTTTATACTGTTTTTGTATTTGTCAATTTTTTAATGAATAATATACATTACAACTTTTAAAACTTTCTACGTTAATAAGGTCAGAAGGTGTCACGAGAACAAAGTTGAACAATAATACATTTAAAATATGTTTTATATTTATATTTAATAATTTGTAAATTCACTTACTTTCAAAATTAAATGTGTGTTTGCTAATGTAGTTTAATATATATAAAAAAAAAAATTCAATCGCGAATTTTAATATTTGCATCGAATGTTACTGTATGTAGTATTTTTTACTAAAGAATTCTTTCAACATATTTTTCTAAATCCAAATAGATAGTATTTTGTATTTAAAACCGACCACTTTATTTGATTACGCAATGTAAGGCATAATAATGCGTAAGTATATACAACCCGATTTTTTTGTGGTAGACTCCATCAAGTAATTACTCCGAAATAAAAATCTCATCCATAAATTTAATATGCTGTGACATATCGTCTTTAATCATATATAACTTCTATGTATGTAAACTTTAACACAGACTGAAAGCATGTTTCGTTTAGATATTATCGTAACATATTATAATTATATTACAATGTGCATGAAAATAATAATAAAACAAACATTAAACGTTTCTAGCACTGTTATTCTTGTCTAACACTATATATTCTTGTCTATCTGTTGCAAAGCTTCACACCCACCCACTCTGGCACCAGAACTTCAGAGCACGGAGAATCCCTCCCCTTCTGGCATCCCAGCTTTAGGTAAGACGGATAATATCGTTTTACCCGCTTACATTATACGATATTAGATAACATATAATAAATAACATAAATTTATTGCAATGTATATTGTATATTGTTATAAACTAATAACTTTGATATATAATTACGTGTTTTCAATTGTATTGTATATTTATTTTTTTAAGTGCCAAATATTAATTTAAGAAACAATTAGGTTTATGTGCATTATAGAAAATGATTAGATTACATTATCTATTTGAGTAATAGAAGAGTAAAAAAAATCTACATATTTTATTCAACTAAAAATTTATATTTTAATTAAAAATAAACTTATTTAGTACCTATCATATCAAATCTTAAGACGACGAACTCTTTATCGTTTTTACTATTAAATTAAATTCCATTAATGTGATTTGGTGAAAAAATGTCTTCATTTTTCAATATGAGAATATTATTATTATTAATATAGAAGCTGCATATTTTATTGTAAGACATTTAGAAAATTTAAATTAAATCATTGAGACTTTTTATACCTCAACCCTCTATATTTTACTGACATACTTACGTTATTTATTTTTTATTCTAACTGATAAATACCTTAACAATGAAAATTGATTTTAAATTTAAAACTACACATAACACAATAATTATTTAAAATTGAACAAATATACATACTTAATTTGTTTGAAAATTATTAATAATATGATTTTAATAAATATATATTATGGAATTATATATACGTGTTTAAAATATGCTAAAAATATTCAGTCAATTTATTAATTATAAAATCTTCAAACTATATTAGTTGAAACATGTTATTTTTATATTCAAAATAAACATTTCCCTCTCTATAAATTATATCTTTTACTTTCATCAGTTAATAATTTGTAGGTATGTATTTGATTTTTAATCAAAACGACTTTTCAATTTATTTAAATGTCAAAAAATAAAAAAAAATAAATAAATAAAATGTTTACTGCTATTCAACAGGTTTCAATCAAGTGCAGGTAAAAAAATAAAGAAGGGTTAGAGAATACTATAATACGATACACCCCTCACCTATGAAGTTAGAATGGTAGTCGTTTTCGATGTCCTAATCCTGTTATAATTTTTTTATCTTGTGCTTTTTTTGTTTTTACCAGTTTTGCCTCAATAAAGTTTTAATATCAATGTTGTTTGTGTGTTTTTGAATGTTTCAGGTCCACAATGGACGACCGATAGGAGTAACGATTTAGAAAATGGTACGTCGAACAACACGAACGGAAAAGGAAGGAAAAAAGGTAATAATAAATGAAAGGACTCAGAGGAGTTCCAAAATCTGAGGGGGAGGAGGAGCGGAAATTCGAGGTGCACACACACACACACACACACACATTATACATAATATGCTGCATATACGTGGGACAACGTTTGCGATGTTTAGCCATACTATCGGTGGCGGTCGCACAGTTATATCGGCCGACGACGGTTCGCTTGCGGTACACACTCTTATGCTTACAAACACACACACACATATATATAATATATACACACACACAAACGATATTATATTATTATAATATATACGAGCAATATAAATACAATATATATGTGTATGTATATGTGTGTTACAAGGGACGCACGCCGACAGATGTTGCGTTCATTATAATAGCAGAGGGGGTGAGAAGGAGAACAACCCTTCGGGTAAACCTTCGACATTCGATTATGGAAACACAACCCCTCCAACTAACCTCTCCTATATACATATGTATACACATAATATATATACATACCTTCACCACTACCGTCCGCTCATTCCGTGACCGTCTTCTTGCCCTCACCCTCGAGGGACCGATCGTGAAGTTTTCAGCGGTGTCTGTATAGGCAGCGGATCGACATCATCGCGCGTCCGCTGAACCACGTGCGTTTAAACGCTTACTTTTATTGACCGCGGACCACGAGAAAATAATATATAAAATCGTTCTTTTTGAATCGGTCATGAAACTCGTCCGATGGGAAAAATTGAATGCCTCAGCACCACTATATAATATAAGGTGATAGGTATAATAATATATTATATTATAGTCAGGCCCAAAAGTACCTACAGTCGCGTTAACGTAACGACAGCTTTTTCGCATATAATAGTCTATTTATATGTAAATTATACATAAATAAGTGCACCTGAATATCCCGATAATGTGTATTTTTTTGTTTTCTTAGACGATGATTCTATTTTAAACGAGATCACTCGATCTGGACAGACATATAGCAAACCCAACAGGCCAGGCATTATCAAAAGTAAGTCGTTTTCTTGAACATTAAATACAAGCTGTCTATTGAATAATTTATAATAACGTGAGACGATTATATAATTATATATTGATGGAAACGCGTATAGGTAAGCATCAATAACTGTCGAAACACGCCAGTTGTATTTTTGTTTATCAAATGAGGGGCTTACAACCATGAACCAATAATTACTAAACACCTCTCACCCAACTCGAAAAGTTTTAATTTTATGAGTATTATTATTTTGTACTTATCATGAATGAAATGTTTTTATTTTAAAATTGCTTCTATTGTTGCCTTTTTTTAGAGTCAATCATTTTTAATAGTGAAAACATTTGAAATAACATTTTTATAAAAAATAACTTTGGATTGTAACTCGGCTTATTTAAAAAAAAAAAAAAAAAAATGTCACTGTATTAAAAAGGAATTCAATTCATAAAAAATTATTTTCACGAATTCATATCTTAGATTTTGAGCAAAGTGATGAATGTATTGATTTTACAACGATGAGCTTTTTCGTGTACGTAGATATACACAATAAATATTAAAAATAATGCTTTTATTTTAAGCTTTGAGGGTGATTTTGAGTAAAAAATGTGAGCTAGTTTGTACTTTAGTGACGTTAAAATTAAAAATTCCCAGTATTTATCAAAATACGAAATTCCATATTTAAACAATAAATAACGATATTCATTATTTTTTTGTAGTTCAAAAACATTTATTCAGGACACAAATATCTTATTAATGTTATTTTATTTTAAATACGCAATGATATTTTCAAATGCAATGTTTTCGCCAAAAATTAGTTCGACCTACTTGTATAACTAATAATAAAATAAATTACTTTACCTTATAGTAATATCAATAAAACTTTACATGATTCATATATAGTGAAATATTAACTATCAATTAACTATTTCTACTCAGAATCGTTTATCGTATATAATAGTTTATTATTGAATTCAAATTTTTATTTCATAAATTTCAGTAACCCAATCGACGCCTACTTTTGGTATACACTTGTCAACCTTTACTTTTTTTTTACTTTGATTAAAACGACATAATATGCTTGATTATTGCTAACTATAATTTATGTTTTTATTTTATTGTTATTTTAAAATAGATAATATCCGAAATAAATGGAAGACAATTTTATAAAACGTTGGTTTTTTAGCTTATTATGCGTAAGGCTTGATAAAAAATAAAAACTACCCTTTATACTTAAAACGAAATTATACTATGCCTACCTACCTACGTATCATATTATTTATAAATTATTAAAATATAAATAATATACCATTCTATATTTAATCATCATATGAAAATATGCAAAATCTTCGGTAAAAGGATAATTGTATCTTTGAGACGACATATCCCAAATTTCAATGGATAATTGTATTATTTTCTACGTTTTCTCATTGTACCTAAATTACGACAATTTTCATAATATGTATTAATATGCAAAATCAAAATGTAATCAATATTTTTTGCTTTTTGTTCATATACTGCAATGACAAAAATTTATGATTTATCCTGTGAATTCACTATATGTTTTTATAATATTTTGTATATTATGTGTATGAGTCTGTGAGTAAGTATAATACGGCTGTACATTAAATATAGTTTAAATATGAAATATCCACATTTAAATAACTATATTTTTTACCAACAATTATTTCAAATTATCTATATGTTTAACGTTCTGTTGTACGTATTTACAAAGCTTATAAATATTTTGATCGCAACAAAATTTAAATTACTTTAAATGTCTAATTTAAATATTCAATAAATATAATATATAAAAAGAAAACTACAAAATATCTACAAATCTTTAGTAGTTCTTAGATTGGTTAAATTTTTAAACGTAGGGCCTAAAAATCTAAGCATTTTCATGTTTTGACTAAATAGACAAAAAATTGCTTAATTAATTATAATTTGAATGAAATCCAAATACAAAACTTTGTATTTTTCAATTCTTTCCATTGTTAATAGCATATTAAAGTTAAATATTACATAGTTATTAAAATAAATTTCTTTTTTAACGCTTAGCGACAAATAAAATATCGAATTTATCTATAATTGTGTTTAATGAATCGGCTTTGTGGGTAGTTGTATTGTTTTTTTTTTTTTTTTTTTTTAATTTAATAAATTTAATTTTCTTTAATTTTTTACTATAATTTTTATTTTTAAATGTGGAATAAAATACTATTTTTAATTGCGTGAAAATTCAATTTCATTATTAAAAGTATGTTTTTACTTATAAACTTAAAAAAAATGTTAAGGGCATATTTCACCACATATACCAATGTTTTAAGCGCATAAATGCACGCATATTTCGATAATGTTTAGCGCATAAACTTCCGGGCCCTAGTTATACGCTTATATACCTTTATAAATTTAAAGTACAAAATAATTTATATTGTTTCATGTCATTTTTTACCCAAAACTGTTATGCATTATATATCACAAATCACTCGTATTGTTATGAAGTAATGAATTAATAAATATCACTGAGGCCCTCGTGGGACAAGATAATAAAATACAAATGTGAAATTTTAAAATAATATAATTAAGGATCATTTATTATAATTATTACAGCAAAATGCATTAATGAGATAAATGTAATTCATAGTTTTATGTCAGTATTTAATTTATGAACGATAACGTAAACAAAAAACAAACACCAGAAAAGTCACTCTGATGTGTAGCAGAAATTGAGTATACATTTTAATTTAATATTTCAATGATAAATCATGCATATATGAACAACGATTCTTAACGGAATATATAAACAACGATTCTTAACGGAATATATAAACAACGATTCTTAACGGAATATATTTTATAATAAATTTATATTTCTACTAGAAATATATTTTTCTATAAGTAGATAGGTGAGTTATTTTTGCTAACAATAAATGACTAGCTATTATTTATTATTATAAGGCAATACCGTTAGGTGCGTACCGCAAGTTCGTGGTATTTAAAAGTGTATTGCATATAGCATATAATAATGTACATAGAAGTGGAAAATATAAACAGGATAAAAGCGATATACTTATTTCTCTGATCAAAATCTAAAATATTTAATAGTAATAATAATACATAAATACTTTCAACTCTAATCTTAAACTAAAAAGCAAAAAATCTGTTTTGAAATATTAATTTGCTTAATATCCGCTAAAATGTCTCTCTGGGATAATTTGTGGGAATTATTTGAGTAGATTAGGGTTGCTAGGAGATTGATGATATTCCCCGTCTTGAAAAATTTAGCCAAAAACTCACAGATAATAGTATTTGATTTCTGTCAACTACGCAAACCTCCCAGCTTATTAGGTGACATATTGCATCTATCTACCATTCAAAATCATAATAATGTAAATGTCTGATCAAATCACTTAATATGCATTTTAAAATTAAATGTTTAAAACTCTCAATAGGTATGTTAAGTACATTTTTTTAGAACGAGAAACTTAAGTGATTAAAATTTAGTAAATAATAAAGTGTATAAATAACTAAATTCACTTTTTTAGCCAAACCCTCAGGTATATTCCTCTGGTATCATAAGTTATGAATTTTGGTATAAAAATTTCATAAGATTATATAACTAACCATTTTGTAATAAATTACAAAAACAACATATTTTTTTAGAACATAAAAGAATATTCAGATATGCCAATACTTAATTTTTGGTGGTGAGGTGACAGTATGTAGTACTTTTAAGTATGATTTTTGTGATTTGAAATATTCATAAAATTTGAGAATCCTAACAAAACTTATATCCCGTAAACCATTTCAATTTCGCTGGGTTCCAGGATAAAGTCACGTTACATTTTTTTTCAAATTTAAAATAAATATTAATATACTTTTAACTTAAACAATAAGCAAATTTATATATGATAGAAAAGAGAAGGTTCAAATAAAAATGGTTTACGGAGTTAAAGCAGTTCACTAAAAATACCTCAAAATGATTGAACTTATATTTTATATTTATTTTTTATTATGATATTATTATTTGATTATAATTTAGATTATGTTTCTAAGCCAGTTATAATTTATCATTTAGGCAATGAAGAACATATTTTTATATTTTACTATACACAATGATATTTTCAAAATATTTAAATTTTTGGCTATAATTCATTTCGTTCTTTTACGCTAAGTTGGTATTTATTCAAAAGTTAATAATAATAGTTAATAATAATAAATTACATAAATCCATATAACCATATTTGTATTAAACATTATAATAATCGATAATCTAATAAATGCAATGTTTCCGGAAAAAAATAATTCAACCTACTATATTACCACTTACCAATAGTCAAATAAATTAGTAAAATAATAACAACTTAAATATAAAGTCGACTCTCAATAATTCGAAGTTAGTGGGAGTTATGAAAAACTTCGTATTACTGAATTTTTGAATACGAAGAAAATCAAAATATCAAGAGCATAAAAAAATTTTGAATTATCGAGTTATAAAAAATGAAGATCTAAATTATGGATGCATATATAATGTATATATTATATATATAATTATAATATTATTATTAATATTTACATAATATAATGTATACATACTATACATATGTAATTTTCAATTATTATAATTTTTATTGTTTATTCTTTTTGCTGTTTTAGAATAAATTTAACTTAGTAAATACTATTTTTGAGAGTAAATAACACTTTAAAAATTCAATATTGCTTTATTCTTATAAGTTATAAAAAATCATCGTTATTACATTACCTTATAATATGATAACAAAATCATGTGAAAATGTTCGTACATAAATTCAGAATTTAGAGTGCTAAGATAATGGTGAGAGGGTATTAAACATATCTTCAATAGTCTTAATACTAGTTGCTTCTGATAATACTAAAATTTATTTTAAAGATTTTATTCTATGAATAAATATATTTAGTTAACTTAACTAATAGAACTAAAAGTCAGTTAACAGTACATAATGGAGCATTATATAATTGTAGAATTTAAAGTAATATTGTAT